TTTAGCTAGATTTCTAGTATATACATGCACATTTTAGTGCACGCATGGACACACATATTTCTATAGATATATATATATATATACACACATGCACATACATATATCTATATATATTATTTTTATGGGTTAATAACAAAAAAGCTCCCCTGTGGTATACCTAATATACAGAAAAGCCCCCGTGGTTTCAAAACATACAAAGTGACACATCATGTTTTGAACTAAATTATAAACTAACAGAATTCGTTAAACTTAACAAAAATAACGGTTTTGGCCATTAAACTTACCGAATTCCATTAAATTTACCGAATTCCGTTAAGTTTTCCGTTAAATTATCGGATTCGGTTAAGTTTAACGAATTTTGTTAGTTTACAATTTAGTTCAAAACATAAGGTGTTATTTTGTATATTTTGAAACTACGGAGGACTTTTTTGTGTATTAGGTATAACACAGGGGACTTTTTTAACGGAACCCGGTAAGTTTAATGGCCAAAACCGTCATTTTTGTTAAGTTTAACGAATTCTGTTAGTTTACAATTTAGTTCAAAACATGAGATGTCGTTTTGTATGTTTTGAAACCACGAGGGGCTTTTTTGTATATTAGGTATTCCACATGATATTTTTTTGTTTTTAACCCTATTTTTATTTTACCTCTCACCCCTCCCACACCTTTCCAACTCTCAAAATTGAAATATTAGCTTGATGCTAAGTGCCGTCTTCCTTTCATTAACATGCTGTTGCAATTTAATCTTTTATTGGATGAAAGATCTCATGTATAAAATTATCTGAAATTGCATGACTGAATTAATAGCTAACTACATGGATTCAATCTCCGGCATGAGCAGATCCTTGAAGCCATGTCCGCGAGTCTTGCAGGTAGGTTTTCTTACTAGATATAAGCCATAAATTATGGTTGTGCCCCTTGACTCCTTGAGTACCAAAGCAACCCAAAAAAAAAAACTAAATTGATCGGGCCAAAATAATTTAAGTAGATGCCAACACCCTTCTATTTGCTTGTCCTAGAAAACGCATGCATTGTTCTTGCTACATTGATATTTTATTTTCCTGTTCCAAAGTCTAAATATATAAACTTAAGCATCGAATATGTATAATCTATTACAATGAAGATGGCAATGAGGTTTGACAACCGTTAATTGGGGTTGGGAGTCAATGCGGTTGGGCTTGCTATCCAATTGGTACAATTGTTATAGCTTTTCAGAAGATCTTGTATATTTACAATAGTTGTATATTTACAATAGTGATTATATTAATTTATTGAATTGGTGTACAAGAATAAAATTTAGGTGTACAATAAAGAAATATAAGCATACACCAAATCATGTAAAATGTACAGTAACCGTACAATTGTACCAAACTCTCAACCCCAATCACGCCATTTCCCGTTAATTGATCTCATCATCTTTCTCAAATTCTATAGAATTACTACTGTGTCTCAATGTGTCTCAATGCAGTTTATTCAAACGTAGGTTTAAAGCTGTTCCCCTTTGGCTACTCCCAAATATTTAATAAACATGTGCTAGTTGATTTCTTTCTAGTTCCTGAATAAGAGATTGTAAGCACTTGTGCTTGAGCTCAAGTCCTATGCAAGCTTAATTTTTTGAGCTTTGATTCTAATGCTATGTTAAGAATCTTAAGTCTTGTTCGTGTTTGAACTCAAGACATGAGTTATTGAAAGTCAATGCGGACCGCATGGGTGAATGAGAGAGCTGATATTGGTATTGTTGTAAGAAATGATGAAGATTATATATATATATCATGTAGATGCTCAAACCAGCAAAGCAGCAAGCTATCATTTTAAGTGCATCTGAAGTCGCTGAGTTCTAACAACAAAAAGGCTTAAGGAACAGAAATCAAAGATTCATCCGCGATAGTTCATCAATTTGATAGGATGGTGTAGACAGACCAAAGGAGAAGACAATGATTAGCTAACTATTCCGTCTTTCATGCTATTGAGACAACAATAATTCTTGAAATGACAGTTGTAACAATATTCTGGTTTAAAGCTGCTTATTTTCTTCAGCGTTCGTTCGAGCCGTCTCAAGCTCTCTCTGATAGTCGAGCATTTTCCTGCACAGATCATCCCTTTCAACAATAACATCTTTCAAGCAGCTCTTTATGGACTCAATCTTGTCGTACATTTCATCAAGAACAAATTCAACAACTTTAGCAAAATCAGGTTCCAGGTTCTCAGTGGCCTGAGTGAGAATTGCTGTAGCACTGCCAAGTTTAGCTTCAAGCAACTGTAAAATGCGGGGATCATCTTTCAAGAATGACAAGTGAAAAGGGTAACATATTTTTGAGTTTTAAGAGCTTAAATAAAATGATGTAATGGGACCGGACAATGAAGTTGAAAAAAATTTTCTACCAAGGCCCATTCATGAGTTACCATTATAAGAGTCTTTAGTTTTGTTGGTAGGTTAGGGAATTCTTCACACTTCAAAAGATTGACATTAGAAAATCATGTTATTCAGGAAAAAATTTAGATCTGAGAGCTGAGTGCACCATGCAATCCAATCATACAATGATAAAACAAAAATAAGAGTGACGTACCCTTTTCTGCTCAAGCCACGAATTACCAATGTGCTGCACAGTTCCTACCAACACCTGTAGCTTCCGTTCTAGAGCATCAATTCTGGATTTGAATTCATCTTCAAAACAATCCATAGCATTCTGCAAAACAAGCATCTGACTCAAGATTGACTCACAAAACCTTTTGCTCTCCTTCTCTGACAACTGCAGCTTATCCTTCTCTGTACAAAATTTGGCCGTCTCAACATGCACTCGGCTCAACCTTTCAAGTACAGATTCTGTTTCTTCATCCTGAAGACTGGTTGCAACTTTATTGTTTCCATCATTCATTATATTTTGACACACCAATAAATTCTGATCACATGAATGTTCTTTCATTTCAATATCAACACAATGCTCTAGAGGTTTGGAGTTCATTATCCCATCTGAGACATATTTAAGGGACTCCTGCCCATCTTGTAGAGCAACCTCAACCTTGTTTACTAACAATTCTATTTCTTTAGATAACCTTCTTAGTTCATTTGCTTTCTCATCTGGCAATTTGGTCAACGTTGTTCCATAATGGGTGCTACCAGATGATTTATCTACCAATTCCTTAATCTGAGTTTGCAAAAGTGCCAAAGTTGTTCTGATCTCAATCTCTTTCAGGTTGCAAGCTTGGTCTTGCTGCTGAAAAAGAGAGAGCTCTTCCTCCAGTTCCACTGTGTTTTTAGCAATTTCAGCCTGAAACTGATGATCTGGCTCAAATGCTTCTCTAAAGCAACTAGTGTCCTCTTCCTCTTGTTTGTCTGTAGTGTCCTCTTCCTCCTGTCCAACCGATTAATGAAACACTAGCATTTCAAATTTCAAACTGATTGTCATTTTATAAACAGTGAACTTAAGCACTACCTTAAGAAGGCGTTTCTGGTTTTGTAATGCAACAACATCTGCTAAAGATTCGTTGTTGGCAACAACCTATCATTGAAAAAAGAAAATACAGGAGAGGTAAATCAATTAATACTTGTCAAAATATAAAAGGAAGGATTACTAAGTGATTAATCCTTCTTAATTTCAGAATGAACCTGAGAAGTATTTAGGGCTGAAAATGAACCAGTACTAGAAACTGGTAGCCATCCACACAGAGCACCAATCTTGGACTTCTGAGCACCTCCAATGACCTGTGAACGTTTTCTTGCCAAATGAGACCATGAACCTGGTGTCTTGCTCAAATTACTCTTGGTCTTAGTTGTGTAACTAGACCGAGGAGTTATGCTGGTCAGACATATTTTCCCCTCATCCTTCATCTCCACAGCAGTTGAACTGGAAGAATCAGTTCCTTTTCGCCTTTTTGATGTAATCTGCGGAGACAATGAGTCTTCCCCGTTCATTGGAACAATCCTGATTTCCTCTGGATTGGAACACTTACGTGAATTTCAGTGCAAAAGCTGCTTCCAATGATGATCTATCAAACAGTAGTTTTGAGGGACAAATATATGAAGCAAAGCAAGAGTAAGAACACAGATTTCTTGATTCCTTTTCAAGAAAAATAATAACAGTATAGACTGGAAAATGATGATCTATCCTTCAGTGGTCCATCCTTCAGTGGGATCTATCCTTCAATGACGATCTATCCTTCAGTGGTCCATAACCAAGAAAACAATGGCCAACTTAAAAATGCCTTCTACGAATATCTAAACAAAAAAATACAGGAACAGCAGTAAAACCAAATCCATGCATAGGAGAAAAGGAAAAGAATAAGAAAAGCTAAAGGGAAAAAATTTAAATTAAAAAGAAAATTCCCTGTTTGACATATGGGTAAAGAGACAGAGAAGGCAATGGCATATTTTGCTTCTATATATCTTTAGACTCTTGGACTGAAGAAGAAGAAGAAGAAGAAACGAATAAGAGAGAAGTTGGACCGATTGTCTTCCCAATTTTTGAGAAAATGGAATAGAGAAAAGTGTCAAATGTACATGGAAAACGAAGAGTTGAAGAAAACAAAGAAGACACCTTACGGACAAAAAATATTTGCGCTATAATCCGGTACTCACACTTATTCTTCACCTAATTCTGCTTTCATTGTTAAGCATGTCAATTCAAGAAATTTGTTTCTCTGGTATAATTGGAGATTTATTGAGACTTGGAAATTGATCCGTGTTTACTTTCTTGAGTAACTCCTTGACCTAGAAACTATAAGTTTCAAACTATAACTTCATTTGGTTTTTTTAACCTATATACAAGATAGATACAGAATCTTGGATTAATTCATTGGCTAGATCCATAAATAAGTATAACGGTTTATGTACAATTGAGATGTATTTTTATAGTATCGATTTGGTCGTAAAAGATAAATTAGTAAGGGTCTGTTTGTTTGGATGGAAAAGGTTTTCCGGAAAACATTTTCCATATTTTCTTTTGTTTGGTTGTCAATTATTTTGGGAAAATAATTTCCGATAGAAAACCAATTACACCCAGCGGAGGAAAACAACTTCCTCATCTGTCTTTGTGAAGTTATTTTCCTTCCTGAAAAGCAGTCTTCTTTTTCGCAGCGACATCTCCTCATCTCCGGCTAATAAAAGCTTTCAGTCCAACCAAAAGCCTCCGGCGACATCTCATCAGCAAACAAATCCCTCCTTCTTCGCAGGCGGCATCTCCAACTCCGACAAAGACCCAATTTCGAAGGTAACAGATCATCTCCCTCTCTCTCTCTCTCTCTCTCTCTCTCTCTCTCTCTCTCTCTCTCTCTCATTTTTAAAAGCTGCCAATATCAACGGTCATGTGTGGATGCGTTTGTGTGAGTGTGAGTTTGTGTGGTCCATTTCTCTAGTCATCGGAACTAGACTTTGCCATTGCGGCCGTAACCATCTCTCTCTCTCTCTCTCTTCAGTCAGCTTTTTGTTGGTGAGCTGTGCCCGCCATTGTGGATGCGTTTGCTTATGCAGCCTCAGAAGCTTGATTGACGGCATAAGCACAATCTGATTCCCGTTCCTACAATAGCATTTCCAACAAGGGTGAAGATTCCTCAAGTATTTCCTGAGGTATGATCTCTTGTTACTTGTTTTTTCCTCCCTTTTCCTTTGAAAAATTGTCTACAATTACTGGTGTAGATTCTTGAAGTTCCATTTGAATGAATTTTTGTGGGTTGCTTTTGTTTTAGTTTGTTCTTACCTGATTAGGGTTAAATCTGATTTGATTGATGCTAATGAATTAATTTGGCTGCTGAGTTTTGGGGGTTTTAGACCATTTGTAAAAGTTTTAGTGAATTCATTGAGTTTGTGAAGCCACGGGCTGATTCTTGCCGCAGCTGCTTGATTGAAAAGGGAATATAACCGTGGAAATACTTCTGTCTTAATATACTGAAATCTTTCCTCAAACGAAATGAAACACAAGCAGGGCATCTTCCCAAGTCAGTGACTCTTGAGTAAGGTCTGATATTCCAGTTAGTTGTAGCTTTTCTACCACTGTCCTTAGGACGGTTGGATCTGCAGAAGAGTCATTACTCCTGCTGTAAAGAGACAATAGATCTTCATACAGTTCAATATCGGGGGAGTCAATCCTTCCTTTTGCTCTTCTGAAACTTCTTTAAACACCTGCAGGGCACTTTTGTTTATGTGCTATTTTTTTTCATGTATATCGGAAAGATATAATAACGTCGTTGATATAGCAAGGAATGAGCCCAGGAAGATGGTTGCTAATTGCCATGCACCGCTGAAGTTTCGTTGCATTATCTTTCTCTGCATTTTACCGTCTGTTGGTGATAGCACTAGTACCTCACTTGGCATTTCAGTGTTTAGTAATTAAGACTGGATTGTCTCTTTTGTAGTTTTAATTGTCTCTAGCTTCTTTCGTTTGATCCTCCGACATGAATTTTGATTTTGTAGATGTCATTTTTTTCGCTTTATTATCTGGTGCCACATTTGATAGATGCCCAAAATGTTCTAGGATATAATATGTTTCTAAATTAAAAGGTCAATCCCAAGATATCCCATGATTGATCAATCAGTTTCTTTTGAGGAGCATTTGAGACCCCTGCATCACTCTGCAATTGAGACCCCTGCATTACTCTAGCTTTTTCTGGTACAGCTCTTGTAATGTGCAATTTTAACCTGTGTCCTCTAGACAGAGCAGGTTCGAAATCCCCTCCACAATTTCCCTGTGTCCTCTAGTTTATCTTTTACGAGAAAAAGAAAAAAAAATTCTGAAGTAAGATTTGAAAAATTGGAAGACGAAATAAATCTGGCTGTTGAGCAGAAAAAGAAAAAGTTAAGAGCAGAAATCCTTTATCAAAGTAGAGCTGACTTGAAGAGACATGATTACCACATCTGAAAATGATTAGTCACTTATTTAAAGAACGTGTACATCCCTCAATTTGCCTAACATCACTAATACCAGTACAAACTACAAAGCTTAACATCTTTTTGCTTTCTGGATGCAACTTCAGATCTGATGCTAGCTAGCTAGTACTATTTCAATTCTTTATTTTCTACGTAATCCTGCTTTAACAACAAGTGGGACCTCCATAATACACTAAGCTCTCTGCTAATCCCTTGATGTGTTCCATGTGCCACAGCCTTTTCATTCCTCAGTGAACATTTTTCGCAGCTTTGCCTTTCAATTCTGCTAATACGATCAACTCAAGGTTGTCATCACTCTAATTTATTACATGATCTATTAACTCCGTACTTTATTTCTTTGTCCCCCTTTAAACTCTTAAATGATTTTCTCGTTGTTTTCCTTTTTTTTATTTTTTTTTCTGTGTTTGATTTTCAAATCCCTTTTATGTTTTTTTGCAACGGAGAGGGAATCAATTGAAAACCATATACAAGTTTCTGCAGGAGGCCTGGCCTTTGCCGCTGGGCTAAGACCACGGGCTCAATGTTAACGCGTCGCCCTTCTTTGTAATTGGATAGATACAACATATAACTTTCACAGGCTTTGGTCCAGTTCTCTTGTCCAAACACTTGACTTGACCCCCGAAGCGTTCATAATTTATCAGTGTTTTGTGTTTTGGAAAGAGAGGGGGGGAGGAAAAATTGCACCTTACCTTTTTTACGTCACTAATACTGCTACGTGAATTTTCATAGATGGATCCCGGTAGTGATGATGATGAGGATGCTATTGTAATTGGTGCTGCCACTTCAGTCCTAGCAGCAGGATATGCAGCTCTTGAAGTCTATAAAACTCCAGTTGTTATACCTAAACCACCTCATGTTAATAGGGAGCGAGCTAGAGAGGATTACATGGATAGCATATTATATGGAAGTAGTTCATATTGTATAGACCAAATTAGAATGGACCAAACTACATTTTTCCAATTACTAAATACTCTCACCATTAGAGGATTATTACAACCTACCATTCATATGTCAGTAAGAGAGCAATTGTTAATGTTTCTGCAAATAGTTGGCTATAATTTGAGGTTTCGAGTGGTTGGGGGGTACTTGTATAGGTCAACTGAAACCATACACCGCTATTTTTCCATTGTACTTGATGCCATATTGAAACTATATCCAGATTTAATACAATTGCCAAATGGTGCGACTCCACGAGAGATCCGTAATAGTCGAAGATACTACCCCTGGTTTGCTGTAAGTCTAGTTCTTTGTATAAAAATTAATTAACTCAAATAGTAGAAATTATTTTATATCTAATTGATATCACAAAATAGGATTGTGTAGGGGCTATAGATGGGACACATGTTGTTGCAAGTGTACCCCTTGAAATTCAAGGAAAATTTCGAGGTCGAAAGGGTTACCCAACTCAAAATGTGTTAGCTGCTATTTCTTTCGACCTCAAGTTTTCATACGTGCTTGCTGGTTGGGAAGGATCGGCACACGATTCTCGTGTTCTTGAAGATGCTCTTACAAGACCAAGGGGTCTACAAGTACTGCAAGGTACTTGTCTTAATTTATGTGAGTCGTATAATTATGCAAAACATTGTTAGATTAGGCAAAAGTAACTTTTTTTTTTTCAATTTTAGACAAGTACTATCTTGTAGATGCTGGATATGGCATTCGCAACGGTTTCATTCCTCGTTATTCTGGAGTTCGATATCACCTAAAGGAGTATGATGACAATCCCCCTCAAAATGAAAAAGAGCTTTTCAATCTTCGTCACTCCTCATTGCGAACAACCATCGAACGAGGCTTTGGTGTTTTAAAGAAACGATTTAAGGTGGTGGATAATGATCCTTTTTGGGATTTTAAAACCCAAGTAGATGTGATTCTGGCATGTTGTATCATACATAATCACATTATGGGTATAGCTCCAAATGACATGTTCATGGAAGAGGTCATTCAAGAGGAACAATCTGAAACTCCAAATGTTCTGACTGAACAAGCATCTTACACACAGCCTTATCAAACACAAAGTGAGAGACGAGCAGAAAATAGAGAATGGGCAAGGAAAAGAGATGCAATTGCACATGCTATGTATGTAGATTACATGCAAAGAAGACAAAGTAGATAATCTAGATGGTGGTTGTAGTTTCTTTTTTAGTTTTGTTTTGTTTTATGATAATGCTGGTTCGTTGGATGCCATGTAAGGCTGTCTTTGGCTCTATATGAGTGATTTATCTATGTAGAGCTCTCGGCGTTCTGCCTGCATATATATGAATAAATCTGCCTGATCATTGAAAGATTGCAGAATTTTTACACCCCTGATTGTGATTATTTTCATTTTTCGCTTTGGATGAATGACTTGAAGCTCTTAGAAACTCTTACAGTGTTGACAAGAAGCTCTTAGAAACACAGGATCATCAAACCGCAGCAGACATAACAGTTTCAATTCAGTTTGAGGTTGGTGATTTTTGGCATATATGTTTTTCTAAGTTTTTGAGTAGTAAGGGTCATTTAGGTCTGCAAAGATTAGAACATGCATTTTGGCCAGCAATGTTGTCACTGTCAAATGGTGGTACAATTGTTTAACTACTCTTGAACATGAAGTAGAAAAATCTCTTGATCCGCAAAAACTTCTGCCTATATGATTAACCTTGCATCTCTTGATTGTCCATTGAGAATTAACTTATGCTCTCCAGGGTCATGATTTTCATTCTTGTTGCAATTGTTAATGTTTCTGCAAATAGTTGGCTGTAATTGTTATAAGTTTGTTTTATTGGTGATGACTATTGAAATTGATTAATTTTTTGAAGATGGGCAAGAAGGGAGAGAAACAGTTTAGGTGGTCAAGACCTATGGAGCGTTTGATGCTTGAGATTCTTGCCGATGAGGTGAAACTTGGGAATAGGCCTAACAATAGCTTTAAATCAAGTTCATTTACACGTGTGGTAGATGCCATGAAAGATAAGTTTGGGGTTACGTGCTCGGTAGACCATGTGGAAAATCATCTAAGAACAGTGCGATCATCTTGGTCCACCATAGTAAAAATTCGTGAAAAAAGTGGATTTGGCTGGGATGATACTTTGAAGATGATAACGGCCAGTCCTAGTGTGTATCATGCCTATATCCAGGTAATTTAATGGAGTTAGGAATGTCAAATGAGGACTTCTTGTTCTTTTGAATTTTTGCACTAAACCTGGATTTGTTATATTGTTGATTGAAATTTCTGGTTTATGATTACGCAGAAAAATCCAGGTCATGACAAGTATATCCAGAATAAAATCAAGTTGTATGATGAAATGGCTGTTGTGGTTGGGAAAGATCTGGCCACCGGGTCTTTTGCAAAATCATTTGTCGATGTGAATTTGGAAACTCCATTTGTTCCTAAGACAAGTGTGGAGACAAGTGTAGAACAAAAGGATGTGACTAGTGCAAGATCCTCAGAAGTGAGAGCAACATCATCGGGAACCAAACAACATCGTAAAAGAAATCGCAGCAATGAAGACATTGAAAAGATGTCTCAACAACTTGGAGAAGTGGCAGCTGCTTTGAACAAAATTAGTGCAAACAAGCTTGATGTCAACCAACTACATGAAGAGATTATGAATATAGAAGGCTATAGCGAAGAATTTCTGGACTTGGTATTCGAGCATTTGGTGCAAAATGAGAAGCTAGGAAAAGCATTTATGGCGAAGAGTCAAAGACTTCGTTTGATTTCTCTCGAGAGGTTCAAGAAAGATTGGGGCGTCGAATAAAGTACTTTGAAGTTGCAAATTCTACTTCGATGGCATGAGAGGAGTTTTGGTTGTCTTTAGCGAAGTTTTGTATATTCTGTAGCAAGCATGCTTATTCCATGGTACATGGGTTTAGTATGCAATCTGAAGTGCATGTAACTGAATTTTGTTTTCTTTAGGAAGGAGGACAATTTTTGCTTATGGCCTTTAACAGATATGGTGTGGCATTATGAGGTCCAATCTAAAATCTGCAATAGTCGCATGCATTGCTGTTTTGGGAGGGGGTTGCATCTTAACAGGCTCTGGCACAGGTTTTCATATCTCTTTGGCAATATGGATGAGGGCGAAAGTGCTATTCTGCTAGAACTCCTCTTTGTAGATTGACATTTGCACAAGGCTGCATGATGCTAAATTTTTGGCCTAGCACCAGCAGTCTCTGTCTCTGTACTGAGCTGCTGTACATATTAAGGTGGTTTATTGGTAATTGGCCTTGGACTTTGCTAATCGAAAGCTCCATTGGTCGGCAGCAAGAATTAACAAATTATGAATAAATCCAAGATTCCATTAATAATTCCATTTAAGAATTCATGGTATAATATGAATAGATATTTTATAGAAATGATAATTTGATTATAATGGATAGAAACTAAAATTAACTTGTAATGAAATAAATGTTTTGAGAGTAAAAAAAATATTTGCAACATATCAACAAATATATCAGAAAATATTTTCAGTGACAAACCAAACACCGGAATATTATGAAAAAAGGAATTTGGAAAATATTTTCACTTAATAACCAAACACTGGAAAATTATGGGGAAGGAAGTGATTTTCCAGGAAAATGACTTCGATGGAAAATATTTTCCTAGGGAAAATATTTTCAGTCCAACCAAACGGACCCTAAGGGTGATGTTATTTACACCCTTGTTATGTTATTTGTATTCTCACTACTCATTTTCATTTTGATGAGACCATTATTCATATCATGATTTCTTCTCCTTGCTTATAAGCTAACATCATTAGATTTTGTTGTCCAATTAGAATAGGAAAAGAAATTATAGCAAGATAGTATGGTCTCATTAAATTGAAAATGAGATATTCATAGTGTAAATAACGTAATAGAAGGGTAAATAATATCCTATTAAGTAATTGGGAGTCTAAGTAGTAACTCCCCTCCCGGCTGAATGAGGCATATACGAGGGCTACTATGTGAATTCTTGTATGATCAATTTTTAACTTTAATATATTGTCGTTTGAAGTTAGAAAAAAAAAACGCTTTCATTAGTGTTGGTCCACTAATTTTATGGTTATTTTTTTGTCAAAGTACAATCACATGACTGACCTGTAATTTACATTTAGGCTAATGGACTGAAGAAGAAAGAAGCAAAGAAGAGAGAGTCAGCACAACAAATACAAAGTAGAAGATGGACCGAGTTTCTTGGGTTCTCAAGAGAGTGGAGAACCGTAAAGATTCATGAAGAAGAGAAAAAGAAATTGAAGGCAGCCATTGTTAATAGCAACAGTAATTCAGCATTAATTTTCCATCACATTCTTGCTTTTATTATCAATACTTTCAATTCAAGAAATTTGTATTGTACCTAAGTATGGTTGCGTGCTTACAGAGGGTAGGAACTTTTTCTCAAGCATAAGGTTCAGTTCCATATATTTGAAAGAAGGGAATTGTCATTGACACTTCCACTTTTTTGACACTTTTATTAATTTTTTCTTAATTATGTGAAAAAAAGGAATCGACTTCCAATGGTATATTAAGAGAAGTGGTGAATTAGGAAAAAAATATATACTTCTTTTTTTGCAATTCACCACTTCTCTTAATTGAGAGAGAGGGAGAGGGGGGGGGGAGGTTGCTCTTATTTTTCTTTTAAGAGAGAAGAGAAGATGGACCCATCGTGTTCCAAATTTTCAACAGATTCAAGAGACAAAGGAGACAGTTTAGAGGACAAAAGTATTGTTGCGGTAACAATAGTCCCCAATCTCCGCATTATACTTTCCAATTCTTGTTGATTTGAATCTTGATAGTTTTGATTCATGATAGTGTGTTAAATCAGGCTATGAAATTGTTGCAAGTGATAATTCTGTGTTATAGACATATTCCATTTGACCTTAATTTAATCCGCAAGGGAGGCTTCTTATTTGATTCATTAACGAACATTATTTAGACAGCAATAAAGTTTTGGTCCTCATTATTTAACACTTGAGCGATTTTAGTCCCTAAAATTTTAGGAAAAACAAGTATGATCCCTAATATTTGGTAATTGTGACATTTTAATCCCTAAAGTTTCGGTAAAACTAAATCTAGTTCCCAATATTTTCAATTTGAACCAAATTTAGGGAAATTTATGGATTTTCTCAATTATTGATGTGATCTACTCACATTGACTTGCTCTTTGAAATAATTTTATAAAAGAAGAAGAAGCAAAACAATGGCTAATTTTAAACAATAAGAATAATTGGCATGATAGCACGTATTAACTAATTAACTAAGTAAACCAAGAAAAAAGTTGTAAAATTATAAGAAAAGCCAAGTGTTAAGGATTTTTGCTTGGGAAAGGTGGGAATGGAGAGAGAACATGAATTCTAGGTTGTTGGACTGGGTGTTATGACTAGATTTAATTTTGTAGTTTAACAATTTGTTTGTTGATTAATTAGCTACTCATGTACAAGCAAATGGGTTATTAGTCTTTTATTTCATTGACTAAAGTCAGTGGCTATTTTGCTTCTTTATATTTTTTTTAATTCAATTTAATGGATACGTAACTGTACGTGACTAAATTTTATTAGCAAGTGAGAAAAGTTTTAAATTTTTTTTCTTTTTCTCCTTTTACTTTTAGTTTATTTATTTTTTAAGGAAAAGTGAAGATGAAAATTCATGAAGATAATCATGGAGGTGGGACTCACAAGAAAAATTAGCAACCTTATGAAGATGAATATTCGAATCTATATTATAGTTCTTTGCTTTTCTTTTTCTTTTTCTCATTTTCTTTTTAGTTTGTTCCTAAACCCTACTCACAAAGTCAATTTGTTTTTTGATTATTGTCTTTTATTTATACAATTCTAAGTTTATATCAAGTATCAAATTTTAGGTACTATTTTTGCACATGGAAAAGAAAGTGGATTTCAAAGTATAGATTCCTAGATTTATGACGTGCAAGCAAATTAAACTTTTAGTGCCGATATAACACCAATGATGGATAATAAACATCACAATTAACCTTCAAGGAAAGTGGCTTTTCTAGATGAAGTGTGACATTCTCAGATACTAGAGTTGAATTTTGCTGTATCTACTTCTAATATATAATTTATCTAGGCATTTTTATATAAAATTTTTAGGAAATAAGTTATCGCAATATGCCTCAAAAAAATTAGCTTAGCTTGGCTTTTTTTTTTATTTTAATTTTTTACTGCCTAGTCCTCCTTGCACCATTCCTATCTTCCAATTGTTTAAAATTTTGTAATCCAATACCATAACACTATTTTGGATTTCTACACGGCAGAGGAGAAACTTTTTGTTATTGCATTTTGTTTTCCACCTTTTTGGATTACTTTATATGTCATACATCACATAATGCTTCTGATTCGATTTTCTACGAAATTCATATATTTAGCCTTTAAATAGAAAATTTCTTTTTTTTTTTGTTTATATTTTTAACATGTAGCTATGATTTTTTCTTTTTAATTGAAAAAAATCACAGCCTATTGTTAAATAATAAATTCTAATAATTTTTTCCTTTGCTTTTGTTTAGGATAACACCCTTACATAAAAATTGATAGAAAAGTGACACTTTTTTGAACTTTTATGATAACACCCTTTTAGATTCTATATATATATATATATATATATATATATATATATATTATTTCCTTCAATAGATAAACACATACAGAGCATTGGCTAGAATACTAGTAGATATAAAGGGAGAGAAAGGGGTAAAGTGTCAACTCTTTTTTTTTTTCTGTCACTTTTAATTTGTCATTATTCACCCTTCTTCTAAAAACCTAAGGGTCTGTTTGGAAATGTAATAGTGTATTGAAAAGTATTTCACCTAATCAAGTTTTTAATAAAAGTACTTATTAAGTGTTCAAGTACTTTTAAGTATATTGTTTAGATACAGAGTTCAATAAGTACTTATTGTATTAAATAATGTATAATTTTTAATTTTTTAAAATGTATTTATCTCTTAATTTAGTTCATAATATAAGATAAAATGATTAAATTTAATGTTTTCTTTTGTAAAACACAAAAGCCATACTAAAAGCAACAAATTTTAACTTTTGCTAAAAGTGTTTTTAACACCAAAAGTTTCACTTCTAATCTTATTGGATGATATTTAACAAACACCTCAAAATTACTTTTAACATCTAAAACTATTCACAACTCCAAATGGGTCTAAATAGTGAAAAGTTCAATAACGGCCAATAACTTTTTTTTTTGGTTAAACAATGCAAAAAAAAAAAAAAATCACATTACACATGCCAATAAAACCTTTTAGTAACTACGTATTAACTAGAGACCAACAAAAAGTGCAAGCGCTTGTACCATCCGAACTTGATGACAAATGCCATGGTCTGCAGAAGGATTCTAATTCCAATGGAGAAGAATTCAAGGACACCATTGTCAACATCAACACGTTAGCAAAGTTGAAAACTTTGGCATATACGTAACAGTCATTATGCAATAATTCATTATGCATACCGATACCCTGAGTTACTTTTAAATCCAAAAAATTTGAAGGAATTTGTAGATTAATTTTTCAAATGAGTAATATACCTTAAAAAAAAGATAGCAGAAAGAATTCAAGTAGATTTGCTCGACTGTATTATACAATTTTTAAAGTAAAATCAATGCGGAAGATAGGGTAAAAGAATAATTGTGAACTACAGTAAAAAAGACGCTAGATTAAAGGCGACTGGAAACCCAAGTCCACAGATATTCTCATCAAAAATACGCTCACTATATTAAGGCCGCAGAAATACAAAAATTACACAAGTCGATATGGAGTGTA